CCAGCGCCCACGCGCCAGATCCACGGCTCCGTAATGTGCACCGTGCTGTGCACCAGTCTGCTGCGCTGGAGCCCTGTGCTTGCCCGGCCGATCTTTGCAAGCGGCATGTCCGCGACAGAGATGTGCCCAAGAGTGCGCGGGTGTGCGAGGATTCCCTGCGGGGATCATCCGTTAAAATTGGAACGATACAGAGAAGATTCGCATGGCCCCTGCGCAAGGATGACACGCGCAAATCGAGAAGTATGTACATTTCTGTTTTAAGAGTGCGTGGGTGTGCGAGGGAGTCTCGACGGGTTTCGCCGGACTGGCTCCTGGGGTGGCGCAGGCGGCTTCTGGACAGGCGCAGGCAGCTCCTGAGCGTCGGCGCCGGCCCTGGCAAGGGCCCCGCGCCGCGTGCGGCTGTGCCTCTGGTCGCCGCGTCGCGAGGCAGGTGCGTCGTCGGCCTCGCAGCCTCGCCGTCGTCTCCTCCGCGGGAGGGTTGGGGGGGGGGGGATGGGCAGGAAGCGAGGAGGCAGGAGCAGTGGGGGAGACATGGCAGGAGGAGGGGGAGGCGCCCCTCCCACCCGCATGTTGAGTGTCCTGCCGTCCTCCCTGCAATTGTGTGTGCTCGCTTGTTGTTCTTATCCTCTCTCTCTCTCTCTCTCTCTCTCTCTCTCTCTATATATATATATATATCGCTCTCCCTCTCTCTCTCTATATATATATATATCCCTCTCTATTTGTCTATGTGTCTGATCCGCCTTCTCGGGAATCCGGCTTGACCATGGCCAGATGCACACAGGCACCCGATGCTCGGGGGCAGAGCCGCAGAGCTGCTCCTGCTCGGGGGTATTGCTCTCGTGTCTGCGAGGGGCCGGCGGGGCTCGTCCTCCGCCCTTTCGTTCGACAGGCAGACAGGAGCCTTGCGTCCAGGCGGACGCGCTGGCAGGAAGAACGCAAGCGACCAGACGTCACTCGAAACGCTCGAGGCACACAGGTGTGGCCGCACGCCGCACGAAGCACCCGAGGCACGCGGGCGTGAAGAGACGCCATACCTGAAGATGACGACGGATGAAGACGACGATTCCGGACGTGATAATGGGTAGGACATCTTTGCCAAGGGCAGTGACGATACAGTGGCGTCGTCACTTCTTCCCCCCCCCAATGTATCCAGGCGAAAAAGACCCAACCGTATGCAGTTGTGAGTGGCGAGTTGGGGAATGTCGTTTTCGGTCACGAAGCGCGTGAGGGGTGTGCCGAAATATGTGGCGGGGACGCTTGCGAAAACCACCATTGAGGCCTTCGGTGCAGCTCCCTATGGGGCCACGAAACGTGCGAGGCGTGTGCCGAAATGGTAGCGGGGACGCATGCGAACAACGCCACTGGGGCCTTCGGTGGAGCTCCTCATGGGGCCACGAAACGTGCGAGGGATATGCCGAAATGAGTAGCGGGGACGCGTGCGAACACCGCCATTGGGGCCTTCGGTGGAATTCCAGTATGGGGCCACGAAACGTATCAGGGGTATGCCGAACTGGGTGGCGGGGGCGCATGCGAACACCGCCTCTGGGGCCTTCGGTGGAGCTACAGGGCCACAACGAGTGAGGGGTGTGCTGAATCGTGTGCGCGGACGCATGCGCACACCGCCACTGAGGCCTTCGGTGGAGCTCCCCTACGGGGCCACGAAACGTGCGAGGGGTGTGCCGAACTGGGTGGCGGGGACGCTTGTTGCGAACACCGCCATTGGGGCCTTCGGTGGAGCTACCTCCTCATGGGGCCACAACGTGCGAGGGGTGTGCCGAGATGGGTGGCAGGGACGCATGCGAACACCGCCACTGGGGCCCTCGGTAGATCTCCCTATGGGGCCACGAAGCGTGCGAGGGGTGTGCTGAATCGTGTGCGGGGACGCATACGCACACCGCCACTGGGGCCTTCGGTGGAGCTCCCCTACGGGGCCAAGAAACGTGTGAGGGGTGTGCCGGAATTGCAGACTGATGCAAACGAAGTGCAGATGCACGTAGTGGAGGAGGGTCTTTTCAAGACGAGGACGCAGCACCACAGGATGGTTAGGAAAAAATGTTGTCCACCTCCCCTCCTTCCTCGCCCCCTGGTCACCGCGAGGACATGGAAGCTAGCGACGACTCTGATCTCATGGCGGAGCTGCTGTTGAGGCGCGAATGCATCATCTTTGTGTTCGGGTCTGGCGGCGGGATCCACGGTTGCGGATCGGTGTCCTTGTTGGCTTGGGAGGAGCAGGAGGAGTCGGAACCCTCTCTTGAGCCACGGTAAGGTAGAGTTAGAATTAGATCCCTGAGCACCGCGGGCAACAGTAGTGCAACATGAGGAGTATGCTAGTATGCCTGGCAGAGTTAGCGGAGACGCCTTGGCCAGTAACCGCTGCCCCTTGGGGTCGAACAGCGGACCCTCTTGTGGATCGCTTAATCGGCGTCTTGGCGCCTCTTTGGGCCTAGTGGGCTGGTCTTGTGGCCGCTTTTGCCTTCTCAGCGACTTCCCTCTTGCGCGAGGTTGGGCCCCTTTTTTCAGCAGTCTTGCAAGTGTATTGCTCTTGGTCCTTTTTGGGGCACTCTTGGGCTGTACTGCGGCTCTCCAGGGCTGTCTTGGGTTGAGGGCCTCCTTGTCGTGTTGGAGGCCGTTGGGGCCCATCTTGAGGCCCTCTTGTAGAGTGGTGGGGCTCTTCCGGGCTCTCAAGACCCCTCCAGAGGCCCTCTTGGGCCTGGTAGGACTATGTCGGGGCCCTCAGTGTGGATCCTTTTGGATATTATGTGGACTCGCCGTAGCCATCCTGGAACTACCTTGAGCCTGGACCTCGACATCCTAAAAGATAACAGGAACTCCGAAGAGAATTTCTTTCTCTGCTGGGCATTATGGAACGGCATTTCGCTTCCACGGTCTCAGAGGGTTCACGCGCTGCCCCCACAGGCTTCCCCCCCATCCCTGAGGTGGCACTCGCTGCAGTCCCTGGGAGGCCCAGCGAGGGCCACTCCCTCGTGTCCGCTCGAAGATGGTGCCGCACACCCCTGCCCCTCTCTCTCTTCCCCCTCCTCCCCTGCCCCTCCCCCCTGCTGCGCTCCCCGTCCCCTCCTGCGGCCCGGGCGTTCTGCACGCAGCTGGGCCGCCCTGGGCGTCCCGCCGGGGCTCCCGAGAGGAGGAGGCCGCCGCCGTATGGAGCGTGCTGCCGGCCCGTGGGCGCCCAGCTTGCTGGGGGCCTGCTCGGCCAGAGTGGCCGTTTGAGAGGGGGGGGGGCCGGGGGGGGGCCCTCAGCTGACGAACCAACAACACACACCCATACCCATAGGGGGATCGGAGAGGGCTATGGGTGCGTGTTGTCGGATGGGGGTCCCCGCTCGAATGGGAGCGTTCCCCAGGGTCCGACAACCCGCACCCACACCCATAGCCAGTCCTCCTCCCAACGACCTCCCTATGGGTATGGGTGTGTGTTGTTCGTTCGTCATTCAGCGCGAGGAAGCACGTGCGGCACTCGGGTCTCCCAAGGTGGAGCCGCCAGTGGGCATCTGTGCGCGCCCAGACTGCGGGGAGGCCTCGGGTAATGAGAGCGGCCGTGCAGTGTGGGAGGGTAGACGCGTCTCTATTCAGATTTGCCCTCCATGCAAGGCCAAATGGGAGCGAGGCACTTAAATCCGAGCACAGTTGTGCATCAGGGATCATGTCCTCCTCGCTCCACGAGGCCCTCTCGAGGAGTCGCAACAGTACCGCGACCCACCAGTGCCACGTTCTCCCTCAAAGATGCCGCGTTGGAGCGTGACACCTGACGGGGCACCCTCTTCTCTATGGCGCCTGGTGCCTCTTCAATCTCATGGGCCCGTCCTGACAAGTCCCGTCCCACCGTGTCGACGAGGAGCAGAGACGTGAAGGTGGATGGGTGAGCAGCGGCGTGAAGGGAGTGAGGAAAAATGAGGAGGAGGGCAGGGGAAGGAGGAGCCGAAGGAGTGCAGAGGAGGAAAGGGAGGGGAGGAGGAGTGAGAGGGAGGGTGCGGGAATTCGCGGGAGGGGGGGTCTGCGATGAGCAGGAGGGAGAGGAGGCAGGAGCAGGGGGAGGAAGAGCAGGAGGAGAGGGAGGAGCCTCCCTCCCGCATCTCCATCCTCCCCCCTCCCTCTTTTCATCTCCCTCCTCTCTGCCTCCCTTTCTCTTTCCTCTCTCTCTCTCTCTCTTCCTCTTCCTCTCTCTTTCTCTCTCTCCCTCTCTCTCCCTCTCTTTCTCTCTCTCTTCCTCTTCTCTTTCTCTTTCCTCTCCCTCTCTCTCTCTCCCTCATCCTCGCTCTGAGTGCTCGTCGTTGCGCACGTCACGGTCCCACTTCTGCCCAGCACCAGTGGGCCGTGCCCGTGTTCTGCAGCACAGCCACGTGTTGCCACCTGCTTCTCTTCCTCCGACCGAACGCCCTGTCCGTCGGCACGCGGCGCTGTTCGTGCCGATGTTGTGATGAGGATGTGCATGCCGCCACTACAAGTGGCCACCGCCCACGGTTTGTTCGGCGCTCGAGTTACGGTGTACGTTTGTTTCTCTACGAGCTGCACTTGCAAGGATGACTTCACTCGTACAGTGGTCCAGCTGTGCCACCGTCCCTCGCGCATCCTCACGTCTCGGCCAGTCTGCACGCTCAGGACTGGTTCTAGTTCCGTGCTGTCGAGCGGGTCGTCATGAATGTCTTCGTGACCCTCCTCTTCAGACGTGGCGCCGTCTTCGAGGAAATCCCAGCGGCCGCCTCGGGCAACGGTGGCTGCGTGTGCGCATTACCGGGCCGCATCGCGGTCGGTGCTTCTCGTCGGCCCCCCCACCGAGGGGGGCCAACCCGCCCCCGCCCTCGTACGCCACAGCGCGCGTCAGGGTGGGGGGGCGACGGCCCGCCCGCCCGACAGGGTGCGCGCACGCCAGGGCCAGAGCTCATCTGGATGGGCTTTGGCCGTGGATGACAAAACAAAATCGTAGCCTATGGACACTGTAATGTTCGATTCTGACATGGATGCGGTAGGTGCTTGCTCGAGTCTTCTGTGATTCCATCCGTGTGCCCCCCGCTTAGTCCAGCGATGTCCACGCAGTCTTGGGCACAGCGTGGCACTGTTGTCAGCATCGCAGGCTCGCAGGCTTTGCTGTCCATACCTTCGGCGGACTTTTGTTACCCGGGAGCGTCTAGGGAGGAGTCCATACTCGAGAGGAGCTATACGGGGGGAAACCTACCCTTGTTGTTACATTCCTTCCCTCTAACTGCTCGTCGACTCGAGGCAGCGTCCCTGGTTCAGGGTGAGTCTGCACAGCCATGCTCTGTGCTTCAGGTCAGTGTGCTGGCGCTGGAGCTGCCCGTGTAGGAGCGAGCTGGCTATTACTCCGAGGGGGTGACTGAGGTCCGTCTTGGATGCTCCAGTTTTTTCCAACCTGGATGACTGCATGGGCTCCGTCTACTGCCGCACGTGATCGTGCCTTCGGAAACCCGAAATACCCCCCCTCTCAACCCATCCGCCTTCTCATCCTCATCCTCCTTCCCCTCCTTCCTTCCTCCCTGGCCCTTCTCCCCTCTTCCACCTCCTCTGTCTCCCCGTCCGCCCTCTCGCCCTCAGCCTTCTTCCCCTCACGCCTCCCTGCCCCCATGCCCTCCCCCTCCGCCGCACTCCGCCCCTCGTCCCCCCCCCCCCCCGCCCCCCCGTCTCGCCCCCTTGAGACTTGACGACGCGAACAAAACTGCGACAGCGCAAACCATCACGACACCTCCCCGCTGCAGTTTTCGAGCCGGAACCATCCGTGATGGCCCCGGGGTCCGACACGCCGGGTGAGAGAACGACCCGCGCGTGAGGAAAGCGGCGGCGCCCGGACCTCGGGGCCCGCCGCCACGTCTCGCCGCCCGCTGCTGCCGGGTCCCCCCCCCCCTCCCCCTGCCTGCAGCTTATGATTATACCGGGCGTGTCCCCCTACAGGGGGATCTTCGACGAGAAATTAGGAATACCCCAAACATGCTCCAAAAGGTAAAAAAATCTTTTAAAAGTAGTCCCCAGACTATTTTTTTGATTTTTTAAGGTTTTTTGGGGGCATTTGTCGAAAACCCCCCTGTAGGGGGAGAGTTCCGACTTGAGCTCATGAGCGAAGAACATCTCCGTATCCGCGGCCTCGCGGGCCCGGCCCCTGGGCCGCGACACCGCGGATCTGCGGGCCGTGCTCTCGCGGGTGCCCAAAGCGCGGAACGCTTCTCCGTGCGACCGAAGACTGCGAGGGCGCGGATGCGTCTCTTCTAGGCTTCCCAGATGGGGTCCGAGCGCAGATGGGGTCGGAGGGCCGCACCGCATCGCCGACGCATCGGCGATGCTGCTCCATGTGGAGCCCGTTGTCCTCCACGCCGAGGGCGCCGATGCAGCGCCGACGCATCGGCGATGCGGCGCGATCCTGCGGCCCCATCTGCTCAAACCACAGCGGGCAGGCCTCGACATCCGTGCGCCGCTCGTGCTGCCTGCGGCGCCCTCGCCGCCGCCGAAACCGACGACGACGACGCCGCCGACGACGCCGCCGCCGACGACGCCGCCGACGACGACGCCGCCGCCGACGACGACGACGGAGCCGCGCCCAGATACCGGCGGCTGCAGGAGGAGAGCGACCGCGTCGAGGCGGCGCGCCGCGGGCCCTCGGCGGCGAGCGGCCGGTGGCGGCCGATGCGGGCAGCGAGCGGGGCAGCAGGGGCGGCGCTGGGCACGGGCCCGAGGAGGAGGGGGCATGGCGAGGAGGAGGGAGGAGGAGGGGGGAGAGGTGGGGGTGGGGGTGAGGATGGTGATGCTGATGATGATGCAGATGCCGATGCTGCTTATGCTGCTGCTGATGACGATGATGATGATGCCGATGAAGATGGTGATGACAATGATGCTGGTGATGCTGATGGTGCTGAGTATGATGATGATTGGTGATGGTAATGATGATTATGGTTATGATGCTGCTGATGATGATGGTTATGCTGATTATGGTGATGATGGTGATGGTGCTGGTATAGATGATGAGTGTGATTATGATGCTGCTCATGATGATGGTGATGCTGACGATGATGCTGATGATGATGCTGCTGATGATGATGATGATGAAGGCGATGACGATAACGATGACGATGGCGATGACGATGACGATGATGATGCTGCTGATGTTGATGATGATGATAATGCTGACGATGACGATGGCGATGGCGATGATGATGATGATGATGATGATGATGATGATGATCATGATCATGATGATGATGATGATGATGATGATGATGATGATGATGATGATGATGATGATGATGATGATGATGATACGGCGCATCTTCGGAGGATCACACCTGGTTCAAACAATTGTGTTTTCTCTTGTGCCCGACTCGGGCTCGATGCTGTCTCGACGCGGATTTGGCGTGGATCCGACGTGAGAGGTCCCCGGAGTAGCGCTATTGGTCAGAACGCACCCTGTGAGAGGTCCGCGGAATAGCGCTATTGGTACCCCTGGGTCCCCCCATCTCAATGCATCGGAGCGTCCTGCATAGACGCACAGGATAAGAGGTTTGACCTGCATTAATCGCCAGTCTCCACTTCGCTCCAGGGGTCGACGTCAACTGTAACACCGTCGAGACGAAGGAGGAAGAGGAGGATGAGGAGGAGGACCAGTATTAACACTCCTTACAGCACATTCCCCCCCCACATGTCCCTGAACGAATTTGTTGTGATTGCGGGAAGTGGTTCATTAGGAGACAACCGCTCGAGACTCTTCAACCGCGCCAAAACACAGGTTCTGGGACTTCGACGCCGCGGATCAACGTGACCGCAGCATCCGAACAGGGCCAAGCCTTCCCAGAACGCAGTTCCTGGGATTTGAAAACCGCGACCGCATGCGACTGTCCAATCCCACCGCGACAGCGACAGGGTGCCCGCGCACCCCCCTGATATGTTACCAATGCATTCACGTGTTGGTTGGAACAACCGTTTCACCGTGATTACCGTCCAACATCCCAGCTGCAGGCACTGTTCACGATTCAGTTCCTGGTAATCCTGCATCGTGCCACAGCACCGTTTCTGGGACTTCAGCCATACGAACCCTTCAAGTGGTTGCAGACTTTTGCGGCGAATGTGCCCGGCGTTGGGGCGACAGCCTCTTCTTGTTGAGAAGAAGCCGCCCTCCATCCTTGAAGATGCTGCAGTCTTTTAGGACGCATGCGCGCAGCGCTTTTGAAGGCCGCCCGCCCTCCATCCGTGAAACTGTTGCCGACTTGAAGGCTGTGCGCGGCGCTCAGCGGAGAACCACATGTTGAAGAGGGCCCGCCCTCCATCCGTGAAGCTGTTGCAAGTTCAAAGCGTCAGGACCAGAAATGACGAAGAATTCTCAGGCGAAACACCCAGCCCGCCCTACCGACACGCCTGGGGGTGCGACAGGGACCAGGGAGGAGCTATTTATCCGGAGAAAGGATGGAGCAGGCAGGAGGAGGTAGTAGTGGGTGGACGGGGGGTGGAGGAGTAGAATCGGACAGCAGCGGGGAGTGTCAGCAGAGGAGTGGTAAGCACCGGGAAGTTAAGACAGTCGCGCGGACAGCGATGCGTTTTGTGTGCAGACGTTTATTAAAACAGAAGTTTTACAAGGTCCTGCACGCTCGTGTGTATACGCATCTATGCGTGCGTGCAGGTTTACGTATGAGTGCATGCATGCAAGGACGTGCACGGGTGTGCTTATCGAAGACGCATGCGACCAGTCACCGCAGTCTTGTCTTTCGGAAACGCTTGTGCCGAGAAATGTCCAGGGACAGTGCGCCCGGCTAGTTGTCTGCGTGTTCCCCCAGCCGTTGTGGAAACCACAGGGGCCAAACTGAGAATTGGCCCTCTGGGGCTTTCTCGGGTCTGTCTTGAGGACTCCAAGGGGCCCCAAAACGACAGCCCCCACCTTGCTCGGCGGACTTTCACATGCGCCTGTGAATCAGAATATGTGTCGTCATGTGTCTGCGCATGGGTGTGTGTAAGTGTGTGTGTGTGTGTGCGTGTGAAGTTGCACATTCACGGTTGTGCCACTCTGCTCCTCAGCCAGAGGGGATCGTCGCGGTCGAAGTTTGACAGACCAGGTGACCAGAAGGCCAGGGACCCTGACCTCGGGCATGGTAGAGCTTCATGTCCCTCGGATTGTGAAGGCGGCGCGGTTCGCATGGCTGACACATGCGGCGCGAAGCGAGTCGGACTTGGACGAGGAAGACCTGATCATCATCACCAGCAACAGCATCCGCATCATCATCAGCAGCATCAACATGGTCCACAGTCTGCCGTCAGGCATCATCATTATCATTATCAGCAAATGTGTCATCGCCTCGATCATCATCATAACCATCATCATCATCAGTATCGTCATTATCATCGTCGTAGCCACCAATAACATAATCAACATCATTGTACCAATATCACCATCTTCTTCATCGGAATCATCATGGCGTCTGGATGCTGATGCAGATGCATACGACGGCGGATGGGAAACACTAGTGGGAAGGTGGAACATTCCGTTGCACCTGCACAACTGGACAGTGGCACACCGCCTTGGACTGTCTTCACCACCAAGGGATCCCAACCTTCGAATCCCCGTGGTACTAGAAAGTGGCTGCCAGGTTTTCTGCAAGCGAAGACAGAACAATACTAGAAAACCTGTCCCTGTCGCGGGCGTCTCGCTGGTCGGGGCGCCAGCGATGGGAAGGAGCGTCGCCCATAGCTGTGGGAGCTTCTCAGTCGACGCGCCCGCTTCTTGTACTTTCGCAGCGCTGTCTGACGAGACTAAGTGGTACAGTTTTTGTGCGGTGGTCTGATTGCGAAGGCCTTACGGCCGGTGCTGCCGACCCTGAAAGGAAAGAAGACGACGACGGCCACGGCGATGACGATGACGATGACGAGGATGACGCTGAATCTCTGGAGCCGAAAGCTTCTCCCGGCGAGGAGTGCCCCCCGGTGGGGGGCGTCACGACTCCTCGGGCACCCCTCCCCGCCCCCCTTCCTCCCCCGCCCCACCCCCCCCACCCCCCCATCCCCCCCACCCCACCCCGGGCTCTCTTTAGACTCGATTGCGACGTTGCTCGATCCCTCTTTGGCTGGAACGCTCGAGGGGAAGCGGCGACGCCGTCTGATGAGACTAAGTGGTTTAGTTATTGTGCGGTGGTCTGATTCCCACGCCGGTCTGGAAGCTGTGGAGTTACTATGCCTCTGCCGACCGCTAGTTACGCGCCCAGACAGCTTTACTCAAGTTGAACGTGCGTTTTCCCTCATCTGCTGCAAACGTTGGCTTGACGCGGCCTCTAATGTGTACATGGTGCTTGATTTGATTGCGTGGGCTCCCGAAGCGCTGCCACCACGCATGCCTTCTTTCATCTTGTGCGTGAGCATCTTGCCCTTTCAGTGAGTGTCAACGTTTTGTCTAACTCTATGCGCTGCCATCTTTGTTGCTGGCGTTTCTGGGTAATCAGCGATCCTTCAGTTCTCCCTCACTCCCATCTTTCTCGCCTCTCCCCTTCCCAACATCCTCAGACCTCCCGCCCGCTATTTTCCCACCTTCACTGCTGGCAGGTAGAAGCCAAGACGCAGGTCGTTCGGGAGCTGCTGGAGGTTTTAGACGAGCTCGAGCGTGCCGACGCGGAGATGGCTGAGGATCCGCGCCGCGTGCCGACATCCCGCCGCGGGAGGCGCAGGCAGGAGGCCGGGGCGCGGGACGACAGAGGCAGGCACAAGGTGCAGCAGTGCTGCAGGCATTCCAGGGGGCGAGCGGTGCGGCGGGGTGGCGGCGAGCGAACTCCCACCCACGAGGTGCATGGGGTGCCATGGGAAGGGAAGAGGAGGAGGGAAGAGGGGAGAGGGGTGCCATGGGAAGGGAAGAGGAGGAGGAGGGTGCCCACCCACGTGTGGAGGCGGAGGAGGGAAGGGGGATGGAAACGGAGGCTGGAGCGGGGCGGACGGATGAAGGTGGATGGCGGAATGAAGGGAGAGAAGCGGGGAAGGAGGAGTGGAGACGGAGGGAGGAGGTGGAGGAGGAGGAGGAGGAGGAGGAGGAGGAGGAGGGGGAGGAGGAGTGGGTGTGTTTTCAAGCTAGGTGCGCTCGCGTCATATCTGACATTTTACCCCTCCCTCCCATCCCTTACCATGGCGTAGATCCCCTCTCTACTCGCACAGTCGGATGTCGAGCAGGGAAATGATCCCGAAAGGGTACGCGATGCATTGTAGAGCACGGCATGTCATGGCGTAGAAGAGCACCGCAAAGCGTAGTATGTCACAGCATGGCGTGGCGTGGCGTAGTGAAGAATTGCATCACAAAGCTTTGCAACGCAAAGCATGGCATCGCACAGCGGCCCCGAACATAACATTGCATAGCATGGCGTTGCAGATCAAAGCGTAGCATGGCATAGCACGACGTGGCACTTAAGCACTGCATATCACAGCTTCAGCTGAAGGCATGGCGTCGCGCAGCGGAACGCAACCTAGCATTGCATTGCATGCCGTGGCATGGCACGGGAAATGACGCCAGCGCTGCAGCGGGAGCACGATTCGGAACGAGCGGAAGCGCGGAAATGAGGCCAGCGCTGCATCGGGAGCACGATTCGGAACGAGCGGAAGCACGGAAATGAGGCCAGCGTTGCAGCGGGAGCACGATTCGGAACGAGCGGGGCCCGAAAATGAGGCCGGCGCCTCAGCGAGAGCAGCATTTTGGAAACAAATGCAAGCGAAAACCCAACTCCGGGGAATCCTGTGTGTAAAAAACAGTACGCGGGGGAGGGCGAACACTCCCAACCCGTCATCAGGGGAAGGAGGAGAGTAGTATTCATATTGAGAAATTGTATACAAGAGGATCGTTTCTGATATCGACGCAAGTTTGCACGTGGTGCCCAAAAGTGCTGCGCTCGTCTGGGGCACACACATTCGGGGAGCCTCCTCGTCCTCCTGCCTCCTCCCCTCCTCCTCCTCCTCCTCCTTCTCCTCCTCCTCCTCCTCCTCATCCTCATCCTCATCCTCATCCTCTTGCTCCTCCCCTCCTGCGCGTTGCGGTGAGTGGCCGCCACGCCCACAGAGGCCCTTCATGTCGCGCGAGTCCTAAGTCGGGCGGGTCGGCCCGGGTCGGGCCAGAACCCTCCTCGGCCGCCTGGGTGGGGCACGGCGTGCGCCACGATGGCACAGAGGGGTGCCGTACTCAAGTTAGCAGCAGGGTGTTTTGAAACACAGGCCCCGGAGCGCAGCAGCTATATCTGGCCATAAGCGAGTGAGTACGAGGAAGAGCGAGGGAGGAATGGCAGAGGGAGGTAGAGGGAGTGAGGAGAGGTCAGAGGGAGAAGGGAAGAGGCAAGGAGGGGGGACAGGATGAGGGAGGTGGCAGGAGAGACGGGAAGCAGGTGGAGAGGACGAGGTCTGAGATGAGTATGTGCAATCTGTGACACGTCAGATGAATAGTATGAGTTCCTTTCAGGGCCCGAGGGCTGATGAATTTAGGGGGTCCCAGGGGAGGTGTGTAACCCTTGAGTCACTGAAGGTGTTCGTGGTCGGATGTGCAGCTTCCTTGAAGCATTCAGGAATGATGTTGCTGGTGGTAGGTCGGAGGGTCGGACCTGTCAAGGGCCCCCACCTGAGAGCCGTCGTTGTAGCCAGGGGCCCAGCAGCACAGTCGGAGCCTCAAGCCCATCTTTGACAATGAGGGGAAATGGGTGCTCGGTTCACATACTTCGGTGGAGAAAATATTCGTGCCAAGGGGGCCAGCATAATTCAGATACTCTTTCAACGTGGATGTTCAACAGCATCAACCATTCTCACCTTCTATCCCCATTGAAGATACGCATCCATGAAAGTGTACGACCACCCACACACACTTCCACACTTACACACTTACACACTTACACACTTACACTCCCACACACACACACCACACACAACACATACACACAAACATACACAGAGACTCACAATCAAGGCCAACTCCAGCGGCCACTCTTTGGGGGTCGCGTTGGAGCCGTCTTGATGACCACTTGGGCTCTGCGAAGCAATCTTGAGCTCATCAGGGTCGCTCTTGGAGCACCTTTGGCCTCTCTGGATTCGTCAGGGGCTGATGTTATGTGATCTGTCGGCCCTCTTGGGCCTCGTTGAACCCCATTGTGACCGCTCTTGGAGCGCATGGAGCCCCTTCCTGGGCCATCTTGGGCCCCCTTTCTGGGGCCCAGTTGGCCCGTCTTGGGATGCCTTTGGTGGACCGTTTCACAACAGACAAGGCGGGTGCGACAACCATACGTACAACCTTCCCAGGGAAGATGTATGCTTTTCCCCACGTCGTAAGTGTTTTTTTGCTTTCTCTGGACACCCCGCGCAATATTTCTCCTCCTCCCCCTCTCCTCTTCTCCCTTCGCACAATCACCCAATCAATCACTCACATGCCATCATCATCATCATCATCATCATCATCATCATCATCATCATCATCATCATCATCATCATCATCAGCATCAGCATCAGCATCAGCATCAGCATCAGCATCAGCATCATCAGCATCATCATCATCAGCATCATCAAAACAGCAGCAGCTTCCCCATCATCGCTCAAAACATCGTCATCAGTCACTCAATCACTCACGCCGTTATCACCGGCCACACACTCACCAAATGCGATCAATCTCTCACGCACGCAAGTCATCATCAGCATCACCATCATAATGACTAGCAGCTCGCTCATGACCACCATATCGCCATCGCCATCATCACTTTCACATCATCATCTTCATACTCATCATCATCGCACGGCACACGTATGTTCACCTAACGGAAGTCTCGAACGGGAGCCACGTCTGTGCGTGAAATGCGAAGGTGTCTCCTGCGGGAGTCCTTCCCCATGTGGCCCGCATATCATGTTATTTAATCGCTTCGCTCATTCCGCCGGCCCTGGAGCCCTCTTTAGGGCCTCTTGGGGGCCTCTCGGGGACCTCTTGGGAGTCTCTTGGGGCTCCTTGGCGGCGTCTTTGGGGCCCCTGCAGCCTCTTGGGGGGCTCTTGGGGACCTCTCGGGTCAGGAGGGGGGATAGTCGATTGCGCCCCTCCCCTCGAAGGCCACGATCCTCGTGAGAGGTGTCGAAAAATTGCCCAGTTTGGCATCTCTGATCCGAGTGTCCTGGGGGTGTCCGGGGGGGTCTCCCGGGGTACTTTTCGTCTGGGGACCCCCAGGGGCGGCCCCGCGCGCGCGAACTAGAATATTGTTAACCAGTTACCGGAGATCTTAGCACGCCCTTGGCCCGTTGGGCCGGCGAATTAATGATCCGAGGGTCATCCGGATCCTGTAACTGTCGTCATTTTCGGGCCCCTGCACCTTAAATCTGGAGGTTGTCGCGTGCGGGAGCCTCGTCCGTGAGTGAAACGCGAGGATGTCTCAGGCGGGAGCGGGGCCTGCAGATCATGTCAGTAATCCGAGCTGGTCATCCGGATCCAGCAACTGTCGTCACTTTCAGGCATCTGAGCCATATATCTGGAGGTAGTCTCCACGAGCCTCGTCCGTGAGTGAGATGCGAGGAAGTCTCATGCGGGAGCCCCCTCCCCATGGGGCCCGCGCATGGGACCCGCAGATCACATTATCAATCCGAGCGGGCCATCCGAATCCTGTAACTATCGTCATTTTCGGGCCCCTGAGCCCTCAATCTGGAGGGCGTCTCGTGCGGGAGCCTCGTCCGTGAGTGAAATGCGAGGAAGTATCAGGCGGTAGCCTCGTCCCCATGGGACCCGCAGAAGATGCTATTAGTTCGAGCGGGCCATCCGAATCCTTTAACCGTCGTAGTCTTTGGGCCTGCGCAAGGGCGAGAAGGATAATGACGCAGAGGGAGACAGTAAGGGCGCCTCACCAATCACGAGAGCGACGATGAGGGTTATTTCCTGATCAGCCGAGATGTTTCTCATGTGGGGCCCGACCGTCGGAGTAACGGGTTTCGTGGAGGCGTGCGTGGCAGTCCTCGTGGCCACCTCGGCTCGGCTGGGGATCGTCTTGAGGCCTTTTTTTCGCACATGCGTGAGGGCAGTGACCACCTCCTCCTCCTCCTCCTACTCCTCCTCCTCCTCCTCCTCCTCCTCCCACCTCCTCCTCCTCCTCCTCCTCCTCCTCCTGTCCTCCTCCTCCTCCTCCTCTCCTCCTCCTCGGACCTGGAGGGCCCCGGCGCCGCGTCGCCCCTGACCACACCCGGGCCCTCTGCGTTATCTGGGAGGCTGCCTGGAGCCATTGGAAGCCACGTTGAGGATCCGCACTGGCAGCAGCTTGAAGGCAGATTCCCTAGTGCGCGAGACTGACCTCACTTAATGAGCGCCGCAAGAAGTACCACGCTGTTTGGCCCCCCCATCCCAAACCTGCTGGGTCGGGCTCCCAAGGGTGGGGTCCCAGGAGGGGCATTATTTGGTACGCCGAAGAAGTCACGAGTGGTCGGTGAAACAATATCTATGGTTTGGTGCAGGCCTCGATTTGGATCAGCCTTGGTTTCGGGGAGGGGGGGGGTTCAGATAGGACTGTCAAAAAGAAGAGGTGCAGGAGGAGGAGGATGACGACGATTGATGCTGATGGTAATGCTAGTGTTGATGTTGCTGTTGATGCTGATTTCGTTGATGATGAGGATGGCGATGTTGATGATGATGGTGGCGATGATGTTGCTGCTGCTGTTGATGATGATACTGATGTTGATGATGATGATGATGTAAATGATTAGGAGGATGAAGCTAATACTAATGAGGATGATGGTCATGCTGATGCGGGTGTTGATGTTCATGCTGATGATGCTGTTGATGATGAGACGTATCATGATGATGCTGATGATGAGGCTGGTGATGCTGATGATGATGACGGTGATGATGTTGATGATGATGCTGAGGATGATGTCGACGATGATGATGATGATGAACATAATGATGATGGTGATGATGACGATGTGGATGATGATGAGGATGATGATGATGATGCTGGTGCTGATGGCGATGATGATGCGGGTGCTGATGCTGATGCTGATGCTGATGATGCTGCTGTTGATGATGATACCGATCATGATGATGATGATGCTGCTGATGATGATGGTGATGCTGAGCATCAACAAGTGACATGATGTTGATGCCGATGCTGATGAGTATGATGATGCTGCTGATGATGAAGATGATGATGCTGATGCTGATGATTATGATGATGATGATGCTGCTGCTGCTGATGATGATGATGATAATGATGATGCTGCTGATGCTGATGATTCTGATGATGATGATGATACTGATGATGATGATAATGATGATGATAATGATGATGATGATGATGATGATGATGATGATGATGATGATGATGATGATGCTGATGCTGATGATGTTGATGATGATGATGATGATGATGATGATGATGATGATGATGATGATGACGAGGAGGAGGAGGAGGATGGGGGTAAAGAAATGGACGAGGAGGATATCTAGACGAAGAGGGTGAGGAACAAGTCAGGCGTTGCGTAATGGGGGGCCATAATGGGGGGTGAAGAAAGGTGAATGGGTCGCGCCCTAGAGGGGCCCGAAAGGGGCACGAAAGGTGCACGTGTCTCCCCCCTGGAGTATCACCCCCTATTGAGCAGCGCCCGAGGAAGAGCACCAACAGGAAACAACTGAGGTGGAAAACAGATAATGAAACAAGCACAGGATGAGGAGGAGGAGGAGGAGGAGGAAGAGGAGGAGGAGGAGACGGAGTTGGAGGGAATCTATGATGAGGATGAGGAGCTCGAGGATGAACTATGGAGGAACAGGATGGGAATGGAAAGGATGATTACGAGGAGGAGTAAGAGAATGTGCACGTGGGGGCGCGCGTTACGAAGTATGTCGACTACTGTAGAGGACGTGAGCGCCATCAGCAAACAAGCAACCCTTCATCCCGACAGGACTCCGTAGCCGGGAGGGCCATCTTCGCGGCCGCCAGAAAATTCGAGGACAAGCTGCAAGCTTTGGGCATGTCCAGAGTTCAGGCTGGTATTGTTGATGCTATCGTTCGTTGTCGACGCTGCCGTTCCTCCTGGTTCTCGTCCTCGTCCTCATCGTCGTTGCCGTGCCCCTCCCTCGTCAGCAATCTCTCCTCCGTCTACCGTCTGGCAACTCTCCCACAACAGACGTGGCCCCTCGCCCTCCTCCTATGCGGCCATGTTTAGCTCAGTATGTGACTGGAGACGATGGTCGTGCCTGGGCTCGTTCGGGCCGCCGCGCCACGCGAGCCACAGTTGCCCGCTCCATCTCTACCAGCACCCCTGCGCTGTTGGCACTCCCGTGCTGCTGGGCGCTCGCTTTGGGTCCGCGGCGCCGCGCCCCGCTCCCTTCTCCCGCCTCCCCCCTCCCTCCTCGCATCCCCCCCTCTCGTCTCCCGGCCTCGTGCTCTCCGCCCGCATGCCGTCCATCCTGGCGCGCGCCGGGCCGCCCCGAGACCCCGACGGAGGCCTCCTCCGCTGCCCCAGAGGGGCTTGGGCCGCACGCCGCTCCACGCCCTCTCTCCGGCACCCCCCCCTCGCGCGGTCCGTGCCCACCCCGTCCTGGAGCTCCGTCGATGGCCCCAGGGCGGGGGTTGGGCCGCATGCCGACCCATGCCTGTGTTGGTACACCCCATCACCTTGGTTGCCTCGATACGCCCGTCTTGAAACGCAACACGTCCCGTGTTCAAGACGTCCGTGTCAATACGTTGCGTGTTGGCTCCACGTATTGGCCCACGTTTTGGCGAACGCATCGCGTCGGACCTGCGTTTTCGGTCCACGTGCTGAGCTCCGCATCAGTACGCCACGTGCCGCGTGTTGCGCATCGGGGCAGCTCAGCCCCTCACTTGTTCCGCGCCCTGGCGGGGAGCTCCATCTGCGGCCCCCCGCGCCGGGGGGCCCTCGTGCCGCCCCACGCCCATATGTCTTGCACGCCTTCCACACGCTTGGCACCACCAGCAGCGAGCTGCGCCTGCGGCCCCGCTCGGCGCGGGCGCATGCCGCCGCACGCCCACTTCGGCACGTGCTGCACCCTTCGTGCCCCCCACAGGGAGCTCCGCCTGCGGCCCCAGTGGTCGCGGGCGCGTCCCGCCCGTGCCCGTTGCCGCACGCCTCTCGCGCGGCGTGCCCCCGCAGTGAGCCCCACCCACACCGTGGCCCCAGGGTGGGGTTTGGGCCGCATGCCCCCCCCCCGCGCCCACCTACGGCCCCGGCGGGGGGTGTGCCGCATGCCGCTCCACGTCAATTTCGACACACTCCTCGCGTGTCTTGCCCTATGTCAGGGGCCTCCGCCTACGGCCCCAGTGGGCCAGTTCGCATGGCGGTGACGCGCCCATGTCGGCTCCCTCTCACGCGGGTCGTGCTCCGCAGGCAGCTTCGGCCCTACAGTTCGCATGGTAGCGCGCCTCGCCCGTGCCGTTACACCCCTCATGCGGATCGTGTCCCATCTTGTGCTCAGCCCGCAGACTCCGAGGTCCAGCTCACATTGAGGCGCCGCGACCATTTCGGCACGCCCCTCACGGCCCAGGGGACGCGCCCGAAGGACCCTCGGTCCATCCCGGGGCGCACAGTGTATGAGGAGAGGGCTGCCCCCAGCGCCGCACGCAGCTGCATAGGGTTGGGCCCTTCGCCAGGAAAGTTTGCGCACGTGTGTGCACTTGGCGTTTGTGCCATAGGCTCGCAGTCGCCAGCCCAATCTTGCCTACCGCCAGCTCAACTCTTGGCAATGGACTCGGCCGCAGTGGCCCCATGAAACATGGTGGCAGCAGCAGCGTATTCGATTCCACTCGGGCTCTGAGCGTGAAGTACCGGCGGGGTCGCCCATGGAGCAGCGTGAAGGGATGTGATTTCTGATGGCTTGGCTGCGCATGTGGGTTTCCAAGTGCTTGGGCATGTCTCGGTGCATGCCACCTTCGTGCCATCAAGTGCGTGAGTGTCGCCGGGTGCGTGCTGGTTGCTGTCAAAATGCGAAACATAATGGATGCCCAAACACACTGGTTTCGGTGTCTTGCGAAGTCTCAGCAGGCCGAGACCCCCGGCAAAAGGCTAGCCCTCCGCACGAAGATCACAAGATGCGATTTCCTCTTGAAGTTGAGAGCCAGCTGATCCAGCCAGCCAAGGGTCGAAGAGGCGGAATGTGTGCCAGACAGGAGCGGGCGCGGTCGAGCTTTGCGTTCTGGGCGGAGTGCCAGTCTTGAATTGCAAGAGAGGGGGACGAGGCGGAGGAGGAGGAGGAGGAGGAGAAGGAGGAACTGGAGGAGCAGCAGGAGGAACAGGAGGAGGAGGAGGAGCAGCAGGAGGAACAGCAGATGGAGCGGCAGGAGGAGGAGGAGGAGGAGGGGGAGGGAGAACGTGGCGGGGGAGGAGGAGGAGGAGGAGGAGGAGGAGGAGGAGGAGGAAGAGGAGGAGGAGGATTTTGAGCTATGCCAGCCACTTGGCTCGGAGGGGGCAGCAGCCCACGGCGAACGTCTGGAACCAACACCGCCGTCGCTGGCCTCCGACTCGACTCACGGGCCGCAGCGCGCGGCAGCCCCGCGGGAGAGAGCGGGGCGGGGAGCACACCCGCACAGCGGAGGGCCCTGGCGCGCCTCGGAGGGGCGAGGGCTGCCCCCGCACCGGGGGGGGCACCCCGACCACGCGTGCGCCTGTCGAAGAGCACCGCTGCGCAGACTTGCTCCAGATTTCGTGATAAAGGGGAGGGGGTCTGGAGCCTCCAGGACAAGCCATGTCAGACCTCCCCCCTGGGAGAACCCTCCAAGACATCGTCCCCAGACCCCCCAGGCCCTCCAAGATGGCCTGGACGAGAACCCCCCCCCGAAATGAGACCCCCCTCCCTTTGTTACAAAATCTGGAGTACCCTGGCGGCCATCCCATGCCCGGAGAAACAGCCGGCATGAGCAGAGCTTCTTGGATCTCTGCGCGGAGTTCTTGGATCGGCGCTGCCCCCCCCCCCTCTCTGGCGCTCGGAGCGCGCTGGCGGCGGCGCTGGAGGCGCCGCAAGGGAGGGGGGCCCAGCGCTGATCCAAGAAATCCGCGCGGACCTCGGACAGCTTTTGTTCACGCTGCTTGTTGTTCCTCTTACTGCTCGGGACCTTCACGCGAGCCTCGGGCCCCGTGGCGTCGACCACCTCCGTGGCCTCGGACCGCCGCTTCTCCGCTGCCTCCAGGTGGTGCTGCGGGCTCCTGCCGTTCTCCGCAGCCATCACCAGGGCTCGCTCACGCGCGGCAGGCGACGGGGTCCATCCCCCGCTGACCGGCGCCAGCGAGATTCACCTCCGCAGTGTCATCGTCGAGCTCGGAGTGCTTGACCACCACCTTGCCGATGTCGTCTTTCGCCTGTCCCTCGAAGTACGGGCTGGCATTCCACATCGAGTCTCCTCACCTCACCGATGATCTGCTCAATCTTCGCGACCTTCTGCACGATGTCGGAGAGCTTCTTGATGCCCCCCCACGCGGTTGCTGCCCCCACGCCGAAGTCGTCGCGCCTTGTACCTCCCATGCGGCGCCTTAGCATCCTGTAAGCTCCCTGACGCCCGCCAGGGCTCATTTCGACTCCTCCGACTCGATTCGATTCGATTTCGATCGCTTCTGCTTCGATTCGACTTCGGTGTCCCAGCGGAGGCCTTACCAGCCCGCCGATGTCCGCCGATTCGACTTCTCCCGACCTGGCCGCCGCTGTCCAGCGATCCGACGTCTTTCGATCGCCGATCCGACCTGTCGACCTGTCGACTCGGCCCGCGACCGCGAGCTCCCCGTGAGGGTGGGCGCCCCGGCTCTCCCGAGCCCTCGGTGCCCCGCCACACTCCCGAGGGCACCGAGCCGCTGCGCGGCGCCCCGCCCCGCGCCGCGGCCCCCAAGGGGTCCGCGAGCACGGCGCCCACCGCAGGGCTCCTCCTCCTCCTCCGCTCCTCCCTCCTCCTCCTCCTCCTCCTCCTCTCCTCCTCCTCCTCCTCCTCCTCCTCCCCCCCCTCCTCCTCCTCTTCCTTCTCTTCCTCCTCCTCCTCCTCTTCTTCTTCCTCCTCCTCCTCCTCCTCACTTCGACCCCTCCGCTCCGACACGCTTCGATGCCGATGGCCTCGGGGTCCGATTCGATCTGGCGCGGGATGCCGATCTGGATTCCGACGTCTCGGTGGAGGCCCTTGCTGGCCTTCCTGTCGCAGCATTGCGCCCAGTGCGCCTTCGGGGCGCACGGCTCGTGAGGGGCCTGGGGGTAAACGTCAGCCCTGGGTTGCTGTCTACCCCAGACCACGATGTAGCACGTGCGGCGCACGATATGGTCACCTGTTTCGAGAAGGGTGGCCTTCAGAGGCTACGACATGGGGATGGTACTAGGGGAGCGACAAAATGGCATAAACATAAAGACTCTGAGGTCTGCGCGGATTTCTCGGATCCGCGCTGGGGCCCGCTGCCGGCGCCTCCGGCGCCGCCCCTGGTGCGCTCCGCGCGCCAGGGAGGGGGGTCCAGAGCTGTGTCGCGACGGCGTTTGCCCTGCGGACCCCCCCCCCTGATCCCGCTGCCGCGCGTCCTCCCGCCTCCTGCGGAGGCGCCACTCTTGATGGGCCTGTTTTCCACCACCACCACCATAAGTTGGAGGGGGACGGGGTCCTCTTCCTCCTGCTCCTCCTCCTCCTGCTTCTCCTCCTCCTCCTCCTCCTCCTCCTCCTCCTCCTCCTCCTCCTCCTCACTCCTCGTCCTCACTCCTCGTCCTCCTCCCTCCTCGTCCTCCTCCTTCCCCCCTCCAACTTCTGGTGGTGGTGGTGGTGGTGGTGGTGGTGGTGGTGGTGGTGGTGGTGGTGGTGGCGGTGGAAGACAGGCCCATCAACTCTTGCAGGAGAGAGGCCGCCCGCGGCCCCCCCTTCCTGGGGGTGTGGGCGGCGAGCCAGCAGCGCCGAGAGGCAGCGGCTTGCACATGGCACTCTGAGCTTCGGTAGTGCCGACGGGCGAGGGAGGAGGAGGAGGAGGATAAGGAGGAGGAGGGGGATAAGGAGGAGGAGGAGGAGGAGGAGGAGGAGGAGGAGGAGGAGGAGGATAAGGAGTTGGAGGAGGAGGAGGAGGAGGAGGGAGGAGGAGGAGGAGGAGGAGGAGGAGGGAGGAGGAGGGGAGGGAGGAGGAGGAGGAGGAGGAGGAGGAGGAGGAGGAGGAGGAGGAGGAGGAGGAGGAGGAGGAGGAGGAGGAGGAGGAGGAGGAGGAGGAGAGGAGGAGGAGGAGGAGGAGGAGGAGGAGGAGGAGGAGGAGGAGAGGAGGAGGGGGAAGAGAGGAGGAGGAGGAGGAGGAGGAGGAGGAGGAGGAGGAGGAGGGGGAGGAGGGGAGGAGAAGGAGAAACGTAGTCCTCCCGGCCGCGCGGCCGACGACGGAACGAAGATTACCAGACGTCAGCCGGTCGGCGGATCTCAGGGCAACCCCGCAGCCGCCCCGGATGCCCGCCTGGAGATCGGCCGCGAGGGAGAGGAGGAGGTCGCCGAGGGGGCAGGCTGGAGGCGCACCCTCCCAGGGCAGGGGGCCCCGAGAGGTCACCGCAAGCAGAGGTACGCAGCGAGAGATGCCGCAAGCCAGCGCTCTCCCGAGAAGCAGCAGCTAGCTGCAATGCAAAGCCTGCTCAACCTGAGCTCGGCCGACGACCAGGAATAATGAGTTCGTCGTGAGTGAGAAAATGCCCATCAGCGAAAGTTGGGAAGTCAACGTGCATGTCACCTATCAGGATTCGCCTGGCGAAGCGACGACGGCAGCTGATGAGCAGGAAAACCATCTCCAAAGACGCACCGTGCGTAGTACCCACCGGTGGCGCTGCACCTTCAGCGCTCACCTGACGCACACGATAGGAGTGCACCAGACTACCGTCGCAGCAGTGGTGCCCAAACGCGTAGTCGACCAACAGCGCCACTCCGTTGGCTGCGTCATCGAAGGCGCGGCACAGACGCGGCTGGCCGCGGCTGCGAGGACGAGGGTGCGGTGCCCACGGCCGTAGGCGAAGACCTGGCTGCCCTCGGTGATCGCAGCATCATTCTGGTTCTCGATCTGTCAGGAGGGGAAAAGAACACACAGACACAATTAATCGTCGATCCCCTTGAAAACATGGGTCACATTCTGGTTCTCGATCTTTCAGGAGGGGAAAAATCACGTTTTGTTCTGATCTGCAGGGCGAGAGCGAGCCTCTTCCGCTAAAAGCTCCGCGGGACGCGCGCGGCTTGGATTGACAGAGCGGGGGGCGAGGGCGAGCGGGGCCTCACGCGGCCAGGAGCGGGCGGAGCCCGGGGATCAGGCGGTGCCGAACGGGATGTGCAAGGCGGGAAGAAAAAACACACAGGCACAATTAATCGTCGATTCCCTTGAAGGCATGGGAAAATATGGGAAGTGGGAGGGAAGACGAAAACCCCCCAAATATGGAACCATAGGGGGGAATCCTTTTACTTGTGTGTATCTATTTGTGTGTCCCAGGGCCCCTTCAATCTTGGTGGCCGAGTCGTTGCTGGATACTGCGGCGGCACTGGCAGACGGTGCACGGAAGCCGTTGCCCACGGTCGGGCTGGGAATTTCGACCCAGCTGGGAAACGGGGCGGCCGATGAATCCTCGAGCCGACTTGCCGATTCCCGCTGATTCGACTCCCTCTTGGCTGGCTGCCGACTTCCGCCGATCCGGCTCGTGTGGATCGATCACCGACCCGCCTTATCGATTCGATTCTGGGCTCGCCTGCATTTTGGCGGCGCGCAGAGGGGGGTAGGGGGAGGCGGGAAGGCTTCTTAGAAGCACCCCTGCTTCCTAGAAGGTGCGGGCCTTCTCTGTAGATGTAAGGCCGGCGCCTTCTAAGAAGCAGCCTCCTTCCAAGAAGCCTTCCCCCCTCCCACTACCCCCCTCTGCTCGCCGCCAAGCACTGCCTCCGCTGTCGAGTGTCCCCGAGCTCCTCGCCGAGGCCCTCGCGGGCCTCCACAGCGAGGCTCTGGGGAGGCGCGCGCGCGCGACCGGCTGGGGGCCCCCCGGCCTGCGGCGCCCAGGACACCGAGCAGGGCGGAGTCTTCTCTTCGTCGCCCTCGTCCTCCATCCTCCTCCTCCTCCTCCTCCTCCTCCCCCTCCTCCTTCTCCTCCTCCTCCTCCCCCTCCTCCTCCTCCTCCCCCTCCTCCTTCTCCTCCTCCTCCTCCTCCTCCTCCTCCTCCTCCTCCTCCAGGGGCCTCTTGCGGGCACCGGAGCCGCTTGAATACGACGGACGATCGACAGCTTCGACGGCCTCATGGGAGTTCGCCCCCGCGGCAGCCCGGCCGTGACCCCCGCGCACATCAGCCGCCACCAGCGCGCAGGCGCGTCGCACCCAGGCGCCAGCATCGATCTGGTCCCGTCCACTCTGTTCGCGTCACAAGTGTTCTGTACTGAAGCGTCGGTCATGGCCAACACGAGGTCACACAGCCCCTTCTGGATCACAGGGCCAACACGGGGTCACATCAACCCCGTTGGGCTCCCGAGGGCATCCCTCGAGGGCCCCCGAGAGGGGTCACACAGCATGCCCGCGGACACGGGTGTGATTGCCGCAGGTTGGTAACCTTACAGTCGGCCCGGATTAGTAGGTCGATCCTGCCAGCTCAAGGGTACCTTTGTGTCCTGTGCCTCGCGACGCGTGCCGTCACACACACACACACTTACACACACTTACACACACACACACACACTTACACACACACACACACACACACACACACACACACACACACACACACACACACACACACACACACACACACACACACCACACACACACACACACACACACACACACACACACACACACACACACACACACACACACCACACACACACACACACACACACACACACACACACACACACACACACACACACACACACACACACTTACACACACACACTTACACACTTACACACTTACACACTTACACACACACACATACACACATACACACATCACACACACACACACACACACACACACTCCTAGGGCGATGCGGCCCTCGGAAGGGTCTGGCGCCCTCTCGCGCGCCCTGCCCAATCGCAAGGCCGACTCTGCAGCAGGGGCGCGACCATCGGCAGCATCCGAAGGCTTGGAGGCTTGCCGCCTGACGGTCGGGCTCTGCTTCCTGGGAATCGCGCCTGCCAGTGCCGCACCCGATGCTTCCCCTCCGCCGCCAGCGTTGCTCCCCACGGCAGGCCCGCTTTTTACAGTCTCGCCGCCCTCACGAGTGGGGCGTGACGCTTTGAGGCGTCCGATCGGACCTTTGCTTGCCTGCTTGCTTCGCTCCGCCTGCTCCGGCCCCTCCGCGCCTCCCGGTGCGGCCCGCGCTGGAGGAGGAGGAGGAGGAGGAGGAGGAGGAGGAGGAGGAGGAGGAGGAGGAATAGGGGGAGGAAGAGGAGGAGGAGGAGGAGGAGGAGGAGGAGGCGCGAGGCGCCAGCGCCCCGAGCCTGCCCGGGGCCTCCCGCGGCCCACGCGGCGCGGGGCGGCGGCACGCGGCCCACGCGCGGGGCGCGGCCTGCCGCCGAGGGGCCGCCGCGGCAGCGCGCCGTCCGACGGTTCCCGGCCGCAGATCCTTTTTTGGCAGCGCTCGGGCGTGTGCACTCTTCCTTCGGCGAGGGCCATCGACGAGAGCCTCCTCCTCCTCCTCCTCCTCCTCCTCCTCCTCCTCCTCCTCCTCCTCCTCCTCCTCCCCCTCCCAGGCCCTCGGGAGGCCGTTCGACGAGGTCCTGCACAGAGCCGTTGGCCTCTGTCCTGGAGCTGACCAGGCATCCCAAGTGGTCATCGAGGATGGCGTCGTGTCGCCCAGTCTCTTTTCTGCCCCCACCCACACACCTTCTGTTCCTCCTCCCCCTTCGATCTGTTGTTCCTCCTCCATCTCGTCCTCTGCATAGTCGCCCTCCCCCTCCTTCTCCTCATGCTCCCACACCTGCTCCTTCTCCTCCTCCACCACCTGATCCTCCTGCTCCTGCTACTCCGCCTCCCCCCCTACTGATGCTCGCTGCTTCCCCTTCAGTTGCCATGGCGCTGAGCCTCCTCGCGGAAACCATAGCCACCGCAGACGCGGATTGGAGTGAGGGCCTGCTTTGGGGATGGGGATGAATGGCCAAGGCAGCTGCTCGCTGAGGGCGACGCGGCTCATCAGACCCGGTGACAGATCAAGACCCAACCTGGCCGCGAGCGCCAGCCTTTCAGCGCGACGCGCCTGCGCAACCAGGAGCCGGCGCCCCCTGCTGGGCCCCGCGGCGACGCGTCCGGGGCCCCACCGGACCCCCGCACTCAGGCCTCGGGCCATGTTCCAACCTATTTGAGCTGCGGCCGCCAGAAAGACTTCAGCGCACCAAGAAGGTGCCGAAACTGGAGGGCTTTACCTGTCGGGCCCTGGGAGGCGATACCCGGTCGACATTATTTCGACACGTTTCTGGCTGCTCGACATGATTTCGGGCATGTGGTCCTCACGTACGATGGGGGCACCAGAATACTCGGGCCAAGGGAAGGGCCCGCTCTGCGGGCGCCACTGCTGTTTGGCACTGCGCGCCCGCACATCCGGACACTGGCGCCGCTGCCGGGGCCCTGCCCGCTCCCCCGGAGGCCGCGCCCCCAGCTGGGCTTGGCATCTTTCGGACGTGTGCATTTTTCCTTCGGCGAGGACCATCGAGGAGCATCCTCGATCATTTCGCGGAAAAACCACGCACGAAACCAAAAAAAAACACAGGAAATGGACGTCCGAGCGATGGCCAGTGGGCGCCCCCGGGGCCCCTTTCCCAGGTCCCAGGGCCCCCACGACTCGAGCATTTCTGGCCGGTAGTGCTTCGTGTTGACCGTCGGGCTCCTGTTCCAAGAACATTCGTGTTGGTTCCTAGGACATTTTTGGGGGTTTTGGAACACGTCATGTTTAACATGACGTGTTAACAGGCCTGTTAACAGGACGTGTTTTTAACATGACGTGTTTGACATGATCATGTTACCTGATAGGCCTGATTAACATGTTTAATCAGGCCTATCAGGGATGCCGGACGGTCGGTCCCTGATCAAACGACGCTCGGAGCTCAGGTCGAGAGCCTGGCGTGAGCGCCTTCTTCTTTTTTTTGCTGCCTGCCGGCGCTTCTTCACAATCCAGAGCGGGCCAGCGCCACCGTTGGTCTAGGCCCCCGGGTCCGCAGCGGCACCCCCAAACGGGCGTCGATGGTCCCCCCCCCCAGGTCAGAAGAAGAAGAAGAATATGATGAGCGCAGGGGGCGTTTCTTCAACCCGAGCCAGCCAATACGTGTGCGATGTTTCTCGTTCTGGATCCTCGTTCTCATGGAGCCCTGCTGGCTTGGCCTGAACAGGCCGCAGGCCCCTCATATGCCTTGTGCTCTGAGTTGTTGTCTCTCGCGTGGTTGCGTGAGTTCGCTTGCCCCACGGAACGGATTCAGTTTCTGCCCAGATTGCTCACAGCCTCTAGCGATTGAAGCGCACCACTCCGACTGGGGCTGCGAGAAGAGAGAGAGAGCGAGAGAGAGAGAGAGAAAGAGAGAAAACAAGCAAAGAAAGAAAGCGAGAGAAGAAGAGAGAGAGAGAGAGAGAAACAAAAAAAACGAGAGGGACACAGAGAGAGAGAGAGAGAGCGAGAGAGATGGATGAGGAGGACGGATGATGCTGAGGAGGAGGAGAAGAGGGTGGACGTGAAGGGGGAGCGGGAGGACGCCGAGGTGGACAATTCACCGTCTGAGGATCTTGGCGGGCCGAGCCAGCGGGCCATTGGGCGGTGTGGCGTTCCAGATTGCATGGGGGTCGGGAGCAGTGAGAGGAGGATGGGCGCGGGGACCAGTGTCCGGATTGCCGCCAGGAGCTGGAATCCGGATGGACCCTCGGAGAAGAGGTCGTCCGGCCTGCTCTCGTGACTTTAGGCTGAGGAGCCTCCCCTGTAACGTTTGTCTTGCCTTCCCCCGCCCTCGGTTACTCCCCTGTCAGATTCCCCCCCACAATGCTTCGAGCACTGCCATCATCATATCAATAAACCTATCGCGCTATTATTATCTTGCTGTGCAGTGTTGTCGTGGGCCTCGTCGAAGTCCTCACTACGGCAGCGAGCGTCGCACTTCTCAATCTGCAGATTTTGTCTTCGGACTGTCGAAACTCCCCATGCGTTTCATCGATCATCCTTGCGATTCGGTATCTCAAGAGTTACGGTCATTCATGCTGCTGGTATCTCCAAGTTGGGGTCTACATCGCATGTGTCATGTATTGGACGGTGTCCACAATGATTGCCGTGCAGACCCACGGTGGTCGAACCACCATCGATGGAAATTCTCTGCGGTTCCTCATGAACACCGAATTGCCGCATCCCCAGGATAGCCACTCCACTCCTATCACACTTGTCTCATCACAAAGCCGCGCATGCGCTTAGACTACAAGTTGGAGACGAAAGCCACCGACTTTGCGGCCAGTCCAGCTAGCGGCTCCGAATGGGGGCCCTCTCGGCCAATCTAAGACCTACGCAATCGCCAACCGCTCGTTGTTCAGACGCACCTGCTTCGGTCCCGATTGTGCCCATGCACATACGATTCACACAGCGGCCAGCTGGCACAGGAAGCCGCCGAGTCCAAGACCACGTGCAGAGCGCCTCGCTCCCCACCCGACAGGTTGGGGCTCTTAGGCTCTCAAGGACTCAGGCTCCCGACCCGCCTCGCACACCCTGCATGCCGCGGCCGCCGGGCCCAGAGTGTGCCAGTGCTCCCTGCATGACGAGTGCATGGAGGAGGAGGAGGAGGAGGAGGAGGAGGAGGAGGAGGAGAACAAGGAGGAGAACAAGGAGGAGGAGAAGGAGGAGGAGAACAAGGAGGAATTGCCGTGGCCGCGTGGCACACAGTGTGCCCGCCTGGACCTGGAAAGTCTTCGTCTGGTCCCCCCGTGCCGCGTCTGGCCGCGCCGCCGCTCCCTCTTCCCGCCTGGACCTCGGTCCGGCTCAGCCCCCTCATCGAACGCCCCAACTTTTCTGGCGGTCGGTCGCTGGTCCGCCAGCTCCGCCGCGGTCCTGGAGCTGCCCCTCGACGAAGCTTCCGGTCCCTGGGCTGCGCTCCGTCGGCGTCCCCGCTGCCCCCGCCCGGACACCCGTCTGGCCCTCCGACGCAGGCCCGTCGCATATCGACACCCGGGCCCCGGTCTCCGGGCGCTGCTCCACAGCTCTCTGCTTCGCGGGTCGAGGGCGCACCTCTCCCGGTCGGAGCGAAGCGGGCCGCGCGAAGCTTGAATGAGGCAGACCCAGACCCCCTCGAGTCATGAAAAAATCACGACGAGAGGTTTTTCGCTATTTTCGGCCTCTGGGGGCCCTTACCGGCCCTCAGGACCGTCAAAAAACGACTCAGGATGAAAAGCCGGTCCTGGGGAATGGGTCTGGACCTCTGGGGGCCGCGTCATGAAAAAATCATGACGTCGGGGGTCTGGGGAGGTGGGGGAGGAAAAAAGGGGGGCGCATGCCTCGGAGCGAGGCCGGGAGGAGGCAGAGCCTCGGGATCCGGCGGTGCCGCCCCCCCTCCCGACGGCACGCAGCGCACGCGCCTCGCCGCACGGCACACGCCAGCTTCCAATCCTTCAGGAAGAGAAGAAGCACCCCAGACGCAATTCATCCTCGATTCCCCAGCAAATATGGGAAAATGTGGGAAGTGGGGGGGGCAGACAGAAACCCAGGAAATATGGGAAACTGTGGGGACTCTTTTGATCTGTGTGTGTGTATTTCTTTGTGTGTGTCCTGGGGCCCCTTCCACTCTGCCCGAGGCCGCCCCCCGCGCGCCGCCGCTCCCCGCCGGCCCTCCCCGGGCCCGGGCCTCGCCCTCCCGCCGCCGCCGCCGGCCCTCGGGGGCGGGCAGAGAGGGGGGGGGGGGAGGGCTGCAGTGCCGTTTGTTTTGAAGACGTGCTCTGCGTGCGGGCCATGTATGAAAGATGCAGGGATTTGGTATTGAGAACAGAGATGGGTTCATGCATACATTTATTTATAAATGGATCATGTATACAAATCCTATGCCGTTTTGAAGACATGTTCTGCGCGCGGGTCATGGATTAAAGATGCAGGGATTTGGTATTGAAAGCAGAGATGAGTTCATGCATACATGTATGTATACATTGATCATGTCTACGAATCCTATCTGTTAAAAAATCCTGTGTTGTAGAAGCTGCCCTGCAAGAGGGGGCGGATAGCATGGCGTGGGCCACGAGATCTCCTCGGACTTCCTGGCGCCTCTCCTTCTCTCATCTTGCGTCCCTGGCCCTCCCCCTGGGCCGCGCACGTGCCGCTGGCCCTGCTTTGCGCCCCCCATCCCTCCTGGACGCCCCCCTCCTGGCCGACCCCGAGCCTCCGCGGCCGCCCTGGGCGTTCCCCCCGTCGCTCCCCTGCGCGCCCCATATGCCCGGCGTGGCCCGTCGGCTCTCCGCAGTCGGGAGCCAATTGAGGCGGGGAAAAACCGTGCCAGCGGGGGTCGGCCGAGCGCTCGATCTTGCAGGATCCCGCAGCGCCAAGGTCTCTCATTGACCCGGATGTGGGTGCAGAAAAGCCTGCAGGGTCTTGCAGGATCCTTCGCATCGACCCGGGTCTGGGTGCAGGATATCTCGCAGGAGCGTGCAGGATTCTGCAGGGCCTCAGTGACCCGGGTCCGGATGGACCCGGGTCAGCAGATCCCCGGCGCAGTCGCGCTTGCGTCCGCTGGCGCTGCGAACGAATAGAGCTCCGTGCTGCGCGCGACCTGCGTGCGAGGCCGTGCGCGAGCCGCGGTGGCTCAGTCCAGGCCGACCGGGGCAAAAGTAGGGGGCCACATGCGAACCCTACCCCTACCCCCCACGATTTCTGAGGGGGAGGGTGGGGTTCACTTCGCTCGGGAGTTCCCGAACGAAGTGAACCC